CTCAAGAACCGGGGACTATATACCGTAAAAGCGTCGTTTCTGACCATCTGAACAGCGAAATTCATCGCGAAGCAAAAAAGACAAAGAGATTGTTGTCTTTGAAAGGACCGGAAAAGCTTCATATGACGTCATTGACACCAATTGGAAGGGCATTATCGATCGCAGATGCACAATTGGCTGCGAAAGTTGCTAGCTTATTTTTTCACGTTTACCATGGTGATAAGAGACTTACTTTGTCTGCCAATTCTTTCCCTTCACGTGTGGTTGTAAGCCGAATAGCAAATGCGTTTTCTTTTGATGATTGGAGTATAAACGGCATGCCTAATGATCTCCAATACCTTTCACCAAACGCACACAGCGAATTCCTCAAATGCATTGTAAAGACAGATAGAAATTCACTTGCTTCAAAGATGTCAAACTCGTTGGCCATCTCCTTAAGATGTGACGGATCGGTTGATAGAACGCAGATAGATAAGATATATTTAATGGCTAAGGCCATATTTAGAGACGGAAAAGAAAACAATATCTTTCTCGGCGCGGGAGAGCCAAAAGAAAGAGGAGCAGTTGGGGTTCACAAGGCTATACTTTCGGCATGTTCAGCAACCCTTGGCGAAAATACCGAAGGTGAAGAAGAAGCTTTGTTGACTCAAAGCAAGAAAGTGTTTCAACGTGCTTCTTCTTTTGTTACTTATGGTGCATCAGTAAATACTGGAGAAAAAAATGGTCTTTGGGCTTTGATTGATCGTGATTTCAACCTTCCTTTGGGCGATGAAGTACCAACACCGATGATAAAAATTTGGTGCGCTGCTCATCGTTCGCAGCTGGCCTGGAAATCTGTCACCAGTTCAATTCAGGAAGTAAGCCATTTAATTCAGCAGCTTTCAAGCATATCCACATTTTTCCATGCATCTGGCATCCGGACACGTGAACTTATTGATGCTGCAAATGCTGAGGGCTGCTGCGTGTTATCATTACCTCGTGTCTTCGAAGTTCGTTGGACAGAATTCACATCGTCGTTAATAGAAGTGGTCTTGAGATCTTGGCGTGCTCTTGTTACCTATTTCAAAAAAAGTAATGAGAAAGAAGCTGCAGGTTTCTTGTCTCTTTTAACCAAAAAAAACAATCTTGACCTGCTGACCTTCATTGCAGATTTGCTTTCTGTATTTTCACGATACCAGCAACAACTACAATCGGACTCTGCAACACTAATTGACATGGACAGATACACATCCAATGTGAAGGCAAAGGTGTTAGGATTAAAAGAAACGGCTCTCCTCGGTGGATGGGTTGAAGCTCTAAGCGAGCAAGTTTCAGAGGAAGAAGATGGCACCGTTTCTTTAAAGGGAGTCGAATTAAGCAGTGGAAATGCAAGGCGCCGTCGACACATTCATCATCTTTACGTTGCTGATACAAGGGACATTGATGCAATTAAGAATGAAATCATCGAGTCTCTGAAAGAATTTTTAACGCAAAGGTTTTTGGACCAAGATGACATTGATCTGTTAAAGCCATTTGTAAATTTACAACAGTCAGTGGATTTGAAGGAGGTCCACAAGCAATTCTTCAAAGATCTAGACTTAATGGAACTTGGTATGGAATATGATGATGTTCTTAGCATGGAAGATATAGAGCATTTCAGAAAGCTATCACTTAGGGAACGATTCCAAAGGTTTGTCCAGTCCGAAGAGCTGCCTAACCTCAAAGTTGCATTTGCAAGGATTCTTGCAGCCAAGCCACATAGCGCAGATGTAGAACGTCTGATCAGCTGCAGTGTGGCACTGAAGTCTTCTGGTCGTAGTCGAATGCTCCTTGAAACCGAAAACCTCAATTTGTATGTGCATTATAACATGCCGTCGTTGGATCAGTGGGATCTCAAGGGAATATTCTCGGAAGCTGCGAAACTCGAAGAGAAGTTGGCAGATTGTGAAGAGGAACCAGCAAAGAAAAAAAAGAAAACATTTTAGTTTAAATTTGCTATAAGAAAACTGAAATAAATATTCTGATACATATACTGCTTTTGTTATTGAAGCTGTATTCATTCCATTTATATTTTGATTCTATTACTTTAACCTAATGATTCCAGAACAAATATCCATATCATGAAAGTTCGTATTTTTTCAACTGCACAAATTGTTTTTTAGAGTTGCACAAATTGATTTAGAACTGCACATTTTGTGTAGAACTGCACGTTAAAAAAACCTCTGACAAATCGACCAACATTTTTCGAGTGCGAGTGTTCAGAAAAGTCGGACAAACACTGCGCGACCCTTAGTAATAAAATAACAGGCCAAAGTGAGAATTTTTTAACCTAAAATTCGTATCTAACTGTTATCACAGGTTTTAAATATAAATCTTAGACAACAAAGGTTTCCAAGGAGAGCGCGGAGTAACTTAAAGAGTTGTTTGCGTTTTTATGCTTTATTATATCGGAAACCTGATATACCAGACATACTACAAATACTTCGTATCTCACGGAAAAATTTGTAGGTCAATTCATTTTCAGCAGCACATCATATAAAAAGGAATATTTAATAATAATAATTCGGTGTTCGTTTATATTATTAGACATCAATCTCGTTCCCCGAGCCTGCGATCATCGGGAAGGAACGTGAGGCTCTGGGATAATCCGTTTCAGGGAGGAATCTGATTGGCCGTTGATGCGGAATGCGCAGTTCAATCTTAGCCAGGATTCCTGGCTTCCAGCAACGGAGTATCCCAGAGCCTCACGTTCCGGCCTTCCCAAGGATCGCAGGCTCGGGGAACGAGATTTATTAGACATGTCTTGTCTGCATATAAAGCATAGTCTATCAAGATATGATGGTCTGGAAACTATAAACAGAAGTTATTGTGTTGTGTTTTTGTCTGAGTTTATATGTTAATTTGTGCACGGTCATGGTGTTGGTGATTGAGCTCATTGTATTTTCCTGAAGAAGTAATCGTCCAATAGGCTCTCTCCTCCGCAGAGCCTCCTTAAGTATTTACAAATAACTTACATGAAGTTTCCTGAATAAAAGTGGGCGCGCTCGGTGTGATGGGAAGATTGAAATGAAGTTGGGTAGGCTCTGCCAGATAATGCGACGAAGTATGGTTTTTGAACCAAACTAGCTGTTTGACCTTTTTTTAAGCTTGAAATCGACGGAAATGTGAAAGAAATTGAGAATCTTCATAATCTGAGTATCGAAGTTCAATAGAGTCATTTTTATAAAGAAATGTTGCAATTAAGAGGATATTTATAATTAGATAGCTCGTATCCATTGATATTCGTTTGCAATTTCTCAATATTTTTCGATGCAAATGGACGGAAGAAGATATTGATATTTAATTCACCCCAGGATACTCAAGTACGCCTGAAAATGAAAGTCGAAAACATGTTTGAACACCCTCGATGGTTGATCGAACTTCGCTACAGATTGCATTAACTCGCAGAGGCTTCCTTTATTTAGCTCTTCCCATCACTCCTTGCGCGCTCACTTTTCCCTCACTAGAAACTTCATGTAAGCCTCTGCGGAGGAGAGAGGTCCAATAGGCATAAGCCGAGCGGAGGACCGAGGTGAACGTACAACCACGATCATAATATTTAATCGAACAAAGGTATTTTATTTTGTGAAATCAAATCCAACATATTCTGACAGACTACAGTATGTCCATGGTATAAGGCATTATACAGTAAGGCCGCTAACGTAATTGGCGAAAGCTGTATAGCGTATGCACCCTGCGGATATTTGTTTATCAATATGTCTTGTGTATGTAACATTTAGCATGTTCTTTGGCTAAATTAAATAAATAAATAAATAAACTAGTCTTCTAGGTTTTTGTCCATACTCAATATCGGAGTATTTTGTAAATTAGCCCCTGCATCTATTTGAGTGAATCCGAGCATGAATTGTAACGTAATTGCCTATATTCTGCACTGATGACATATTAATGAGGTTCAGATTTTACTTTCACTACCACCATTATAACCAATCAAATGCGTACTAAGCCAGTGAGAGGTATAGCGGTAGTCAAATCTGAAACTCTAGTTACCTGTATATAGAGAGAATAATACATGGGTGCGCGGAAATACCAGATTTATTTCGAGTGTTGAACATGATATCTCACGAGTGAGCACAGCGAACGAGTGAGATATCAAGTTCAACACGAGAAATAAATCTGGTATTTCCAAGGCCCTCCAAGCACCCAAGTATTTTTCTGTTTATTATATAAAGGACAGTCTTTGAAAAGCGAGAATTTTTACAGAAAAGCGATAATTGAAAAGCGATAATTTTCACATGTGAGATTATCATGAATAATCTCACATGTGAGATTATCACTTTTATCAGTGCTCGAAATCTCTATAAAGCACTATACTTTATATAATAAATAATAATAATTTTGGTTTTGATGTTACTTTGTGCATTGCTCATGAGATTGATCCATGTTTACCGCCAATACACAAGAATCAATATTCTGGTTCTTGAATCTTTCTCATCTAACCAATATATATATTATATTTAAGCCAGGCAATTTCTGTTTTGAATTCAAAATCAGTACTTAATTGTATCCTTAATTATGGTATCCTTAATTTTAGTGCGAGCACGTACGAGTTTTAGAATTTAGACCGAAAGGACCTTTGACTTTGACCTATCGTATATGTAACGCATTAATACGTGTTTGTCTGACTTTTCCAATTAGCGAAACATTTTCCCCGAGGAAAAACCCGCGAAAATAACACGTGGTCGCTAATTAAAAAAGTCGGATAAACATGGCGGATCTGAAATATTATATAAAGTCATTATAAATGGTCACGACTAAAAGGTGCGCTTGGGGGACGTGCAAAAACGATACACGATATCCACAACGGATTAAACGCAACAGTAATGGAGACGAAGTCTCCTTTTTACATTTTCCTGGTGCTAAATATCACAACACCAAGCGAGAACGTTGGATTCGTGCATGTAATAGACATGATGATTTTAACTGTACAAACCATAGCTACATATGCAGCCTGCATTTTGTTGGAGGAAATGGTCCTACTTATCAACATCCAGACCCTACACAAGCAGTGGAATGTAGGGCCAGGCGAATTTATGTAAGTTATGAATCAATGAAGTTAATAATAATAATAATAACAAAGACGAGTTCAACTCCGGTAAGTGCGCTAATTAACTAATTAAGTTAACTAATGAGTAATGGAAACAATGTAATAAATTTGAAATATCCCACCCACTGATCTACTGCTATAATCCCATCAAGTAGATCTGGGGGGTACTATATACTAGGTATTATTAATTAATATTAGTCTTAAATCTAGAGTTAATTACTACACTATCAATTAAAAATCAAATGTTAGAAATCAATGAAAGTATTCTTAAAGCAGATGCATTAATGTGCATTAAAACCTGTAAAGCAGGGATGAAACAATTTTGTCTCACCCCAACTCATACATGATAGCTAGCAACTTCACAGCTGACAACTTCATCGAAATTAAACTCAGCAGTCTTCTTAACTCTCAAATCTTTAGCAGATCTTTTACATGTTATATGTCGGTAATCAATAATCAGTAAAACACTTTGTGTGAGATGTAAAGAGAAAATGAGGCAGCCTAATTGACATAATATACCACTTCTTCATCAGCTCACATTTTATAACACAGCAGAAAAATTCTTTGTAGAAAAAAACTGTTGTGAAAGGTATTAAGCCTACATGATGTTGGACATTTAAGCTTGATGTTACACATTGCAAGAGGTCTAAGCTTACAGTCTGTTGAGTAATATGGACATTAGACATCATGCAATTTCTATATCATACACTTTGTTTGTGCAAGAGATAGTCACACTCAAGACCTAGCTATTGCATGTTTAAAGTTCAGAAAGATCTATCATAGATCTTTGTATGCCCTACTTCCTTGTCCATATAGTAATTTAATCCTGATGTCTGATTATGCAAGACCATACTGCACTCTACTAGCACAACATTGTGAAAAAGATATTGCATAATTACTGAGTATTAAAAAAATATATAAATTAGGGGCAGACACCAATGAAAAACAGAATTACTTTTAATTTGGCCTAACTTATTTCAGAATGTGCCTGCAAAATGCATCTTATTTTATTAGGTTAAATTGGGAACTAATTATTGCTAAAATGGCTGGATTTTAATGAAATATCAATCATGTATCTAAGTTAACTTCTTACAGCCCTCCTGGCTTTACTTAGATTCATAAGTTATAAAAGTTATTTGTGTAATGTACTAAGTTAACATGCTTGGCTGCTTGTTGTTCACTTAATCTCATGGTCTTCCTGAGGCTCCTTATGATTCTGTTGCAAAATAAGTTTTGGGTTAGGCTAGTGATTTGTTCAAGAAATAGTTAGAAATATTGATTTTCGCTTACAAATGACTATAATTTCTATGTGCACCTGCAGTACTTTTGTCACAAAATCATGAGGAAAGTCATTGTGCTCAGTGTGCAACAAGCAGCAAAGTCTAGTTTTAATGTTGGGGTCAGGTGTCAATTGGGATGCAAGTCCTGTTCCTTTCCTCAGTCACACTTGTGTCCTCTGTTTACTGTAGATCGATGTATGCATAATGATTGTGTTGTGACAAATGATTAAATTAATGGGTCATTCCAGAAAACATCCATACCACCCCCACAGAGGAAATAGGAAGTTAAACCCCCTACCCCCTTCGGATGTCCTAATACATTTACTATTATCAGAAACAATTTTTTCTCCCCTCCCCCTCCTGACGGCAGAAGTTTCCTCCATGGAGGGAGTGTGGATCTTTTCTGGAACGACCCATTATGTACCTGCAATTTCAAAAGGTGCCTGCACACATGTGCATTTTAAGTTTTTAACCAGTCAACTAAAGTTGCATTGCATTCTACTTTATTATTTTATTCTGTCTATAATGCCAGACAGTTTTCACAATGAACCTATTAAGTAGCATTGCACCCTAATACTATATGTGAACCGTAATACAATATATGTCTTGCAATAATTTTGACCAAAATTATTGCAAGCTAATTATGTTATGCGTGCACCTATCAATGTTCACCCTGTCAGGGGCCCAGCAATGGGCGGGGATTTTGACATGTTAAGTTTAAAAAAATTGTCAACCTCCCCACCCCATTAGGACAACAACATTTGTCAAAAGTACCAGTATTGCTACCCACTGTTATATAACTAAACATTTTTTGTGACTTCAAAATCCTCGCCAAATAATTTAAGGCACGCCACAGCCGGACCCTTACGGCTTACCTAGTGGGATTAAAATTTGATAGATGCATTACATGACACATTATGGTTCATGCGGGTTCATGAGACCTGGCTATCTTTGTATAGATTGTAATATTAAAGGGGAAGTCAAGTCCTTTCTGCGCATCGGTTCTGCGCATAACAATAGAGGGCCCTCTGAGGTAAACATTGCCCAAATTTTGAATGTTTCGAATTTTTCTGAACACAAACTCTATTTCATATTCATGTAGAAGCATAACGAACCAAAATGGTGTTAGATATTCAGACAGTACATCATATTTTAAAAAATACAGCAGTTCAAAATGTAAACAAACCGTTTGTTTACATTACGGACTTGACTTCCCCTTTAAAATACCAATCAAAATATGAAATATCTGGAGTATATTCGTTATTCATTTTAATAACATAGAGTCTAGCACAATTGTAATATTTTTACCTTGTTTGCTGAGCTGGCAGACATAATAACTCAGGTTAACCTTTCAAGTAGCAAAGTTCCAAAATAAAATCCGTTTGTATATGGAAGGGTGGAAACTATATTCCTTCCAAAAAATTAAAAACTACCGCAGTACAAGTAGGCTCAGATTCCAGCCGTTGTGTTCTCGCCACTCGCCCACTTAACGGCTGGGTCAATGGTTAATATTTCTTGTCTGTGACGTCAAGGTTAATATTTAAATTTATGCATATGTTTTACATAATTATGTATTTCTGTGCAATGTAAAATGGCGGCTGTCAGGAGCGAACAATTTTGTTTCGAAGAGGAAATAGCAAATTTTAACAACTTTGTGCATTCATCGATAACTTTTTTGTAAAGGAAAACAAAATGGAAGCTTTTAAGTTCATTTGACAAAATGTTATTAAGTTCTAGTATGTTTCTAACGAAGACAGGAACTGCAATGTACACGAGTCAATGAATATATTATATATCTAAATAGTAAAACAATAAACCCTACCAACAAAAGCAGGTGAATCTGAATAATTAACGTCTTATTTCAAACAAATAGTTTTTCAATGAATATTCTTTGAAGAGGAACATAAATTTAATGTTAATATTTGAGTTGTTTATAGACTATAGTTATACGTAATGCAATTTTACGCCTTGTGATTAATATCTAAAATTTTTCCTTATGATCGATTTTGTTCGAGGGACAGTGAAGGAACTAAGTCTTTTATAGACCAAACAATAGTCTGTCAAGATATGATCATTATGATGGTATGAAAGCCTGCAAACTTCAAAGCTACAAAATAGAAGACCTAGTGTTTGATGTTGAACTGTACCTTACTGTGCACCTTCATAGATTTGGTTAAACAGTCTTTTGATGTAGCAAGAATATTTGAAATTTAAAATGTTCTTGGCTTTATTTCGGTGTTGTATAAGTTGTCTGTACAAATGGAGGCCGGGTGTGCTCATCGACCCATATATGGTTCAGTGTATGACTGTTGACCAAGTCAGTAATCATTTGTAGCTACACACAGCAGTGAGGGGTATTATTGTGGTAATGGTGACAGGATATTGCCTTTCCAAATTGAAAAAAAAATGATTTGATGAAATACCCCCCCCCCACCTTACACCCCTTTGCCAATGTTAAGGGGGGTGCATCCCCATGGCAGTAAATACATCCAGGGATGGATCCAGCATGATCTGGTAGGGGGGTGCTCTGCCAGCTCTGGTGCCGAGTTGTGTCGGTCATGTGTGCCAACCGCCCATCAACTTGCTTCACTACTGCAAAGTCCTGCTTGACTACTGTATTTAAATTGTAATTGTTCACATTTCACTTATCATGTTATTACTCAAATTACTGTATGTCATTTTGTCTCTAATAATTTTTTGCTTTATCATGAAAAATAGCACCCCCCCTGCACCCCCTCTGGCCAGGGCAAGGGGGGTGCCCCCCAGTAAATCCATCCCTGAATACATCTCTGCAGGAATGCAAGAAGAATTTGGCTTCTTTTCCCCCATGAAAACTTAATCCCCCATGCCAGGATAATTTTGGTGTTTAACATTTTGATATTTTCTAACTAATGTGTTACTGCAACAAATTTTCTGAACCCTTGTTTATTAGCTTAAATAAATATTCAATCTTTCAGAACTAGCAATTTATCATGCTTTGTCATTCTCAGTCTGGCTTTCATATGAACAGCCGTTAAAAACACACATTGACATGACAACTATCCTTTTCTTAATACCATACTGACAAGGTTTCCAAAACTCAGCCTGAGGTCTGAGAGCAAACATATTTGAGCTTGTTGAACAGACTAAATGCATATTTCACTGATGTCTGAATTTATAAAACATTGCATACTTTTATTCCATAAATCCTCTACTTAGGCTATCCAACAAGTCCCATTCTTTGCCCCTTCACAACAAAGAAACACATGATACCAATTGGATTTATTCTGATTGCCCTTCAAATAACTATGTGCCCACATTTATTCAATTAGTATTCATGGTAAATCATATTGTCAATATATAAAATAATATTGAATTTATTGTGCTTGCCTGTAATTAGCAATTAGCATATATGAGCACACTGATATATCAGTTTCAGTTCACAAATTACCTGCCCAGTCTAAAAAATATTGTCAAATGGCCCAAACTAGCTTGTGGGAGATCTAACCATGCAAGCCTATTATTACCTAGCCATGGGCTCCATGAAAGGGCCTGTTTATAAAATCTCAGCTAGGCAGGATGAGGCAGTTTCCAAGATCCTGACTATCATATCAATTTGTGTTCAAAAATACATGTATACATTTGATGAACTCACTCACAAACATGTATAAATACGACATCCTAGCTGCCTGGCAAGGTTACCCACTTTCCCACCTGACAGGATCATATAAACATGTCTTTAATAATATTAATTAAAATAAGCCTTTTAAATACTGCAATATCCTACATACTAATATACTATATGTCACAAGACTTTGCAAAATAACATTTTCTACTTTCCTGGCAATATGTCAGACCAGCCCAATAATAAACACATCCAGGTTTATTGTAAATATAATTATAAATGTCGAACTGAATCAGCAGAAACAGGGAGGGTTTCAAAGGACTAGGCCACCTAGCTAAGCTAAAAAAAGAAAGGTTATTAATTTTGCTCAGCCACACGCAAAATATTTTTTGCCCTTTCATGACCAAGAATCCTCAATGAGATATATTATTTATAAACACAATATAAAAATATGCAACGGATTCGAAAAGACGAAAACATTCCAGCGACTATTATTCGTAGAGAGACTTCGGTTCGTGTCGTAAAAATCGTCGGAATTACTCTTCCCCAAAAAGTGCACATATTTGCACAACGCCGACCTCGAACGCTTCAGCAATGCGCTTTAGCCATATTTAATTTATTACTTTTGTGTTAAATTTATGCATTATTAATACAAATTTATGTGATTGGTCAATCAGAACAATGCCGAAGCTCATTGACCCAGCCGTTAAGTGGGCGAGTGGCGAGAACACAACGGCTGGAATCTGAGCCTAGTGTTTACGTACCTCTTAAATAAATTAAAGCAGATCTAGCCAAGTAGTTGGAAGCATTCGAACAATGGCATCACCGCATGTGTCTAAAATCAGACAGTGTTATACAGCCTAAACAACACTTTCGACAACAAATTAAAAGAAAAAACTTGTTTTCTTTCTTTGGAAACATACATCTGGAATGGTCGACAACAGACTTGTTCCCAATATAGATTAACAATATAACCAGGTCGCATGGTGGTAGCATGGATAATAAAATAAATTAGTGCATAGGAAACTAGCTGACGTGACCTAATGTTTTCAATGGGCTGATGGCGTGATTGGATGTTAAAACCTAGTGCAAACCAAATTCTCAAAAACGGCATGTTTAGCAATAATACAGCTAAACATTTTAGTCAAAGAGCAAATGAATATAACTACGCCATTCTACGATGAAATCTCTAAGTATTCCCAGTCAATTTTAGCAAATATTTCAAGCACTAAACAGTGAAAAAGGCATCCCAAATTTCGTTAAAATTGGGGCCGCCAATTCGTAGGTACAAATGTAAAAAAATACAAGACAAAGACGAAAAACATTTACCTTGAATACTTTGTCGTGGCTTAGGCATGTTTTTAAAACAATTAGACCTGCAGTATATGCTTCAATATTACTCTTTTAAAGCGGAAAGTATAGCGAAACAACAAAAATGCCGAGAACTTTGCAATACGCGTGACGTCACAGATTGCAACCAGGTTGTTTTTGCTTACGTCAGCTAGAGTCCTATCCATTTATTTTATTATCCATGGTGGTAGTATGGCAGATGGTATAAGATGGACTCAAGAGTCAAGACCGACGTCAGTGGAATTAGCGTGTCGTTGCTGCTGTCGGTGCTGATGATCATCATGATGACGACGATGATGACGATGCTGAGGATCGTGATGATGATGATTCAGTTGCATGTGAGAATAGCGTATGCAGTTTGACTGTACCTAAAATAGCATGCTTGAAATTGCCAAATACCTTATTAGTTGTGTTCATAACCCTTTAGGTAGTTTTTTCTTGGGTGATGAGGATACGAAAATATCACAGATTGACTTGGTACTTCCGTGCCCTAATGGTAGTTGTTCAAAAAAATTATTAACATCATTGAGTAGAGATAATTCGTCAAACTGTAAAATTTTATGGGATGAGAGGTTTTCACCAAACAGTGAACCATTCGTCGTTGAGAATCGAGAAGATGGCCTTTACTTCGAGGTAAGTATATTATAGTGCATGCATGTTGCCGTTGTTTATATGTCTGGACCCGAGGTTTTACCGGAACAAAGTGAGTTCTTCGTCATTGTCTCGCAATCTGAAATAATTTTTGAATCAGGTAGTTCAAACACAAACCACGGCAGGTTAATTTAAAATATACATATGCACTGGAACCCGGTATGTGCATGGTATTATAGTATGACTATTGGTGGCATTGACGATGACTGATTTGTAATTGATTATCGATATAATTGACTTATTATAATATACACAAGGTCTGGATATGAGGTATTCTGCAATCTGATTGGTTCTCTACTAGCAGGATATTAGCTCATATCCTGCTAGTAGAGAAAAACAAAATGGAGGCTCAAACTGAATTTCCGACGTTTTGCGAACGAGGAAACGACAAGTTGTTCGCTTTTTATAGCCTTTACAGGATTAAAAACACAATGAAAAAACTCCCATAAATTGTTTACAGGTTAGCAAATGAATTTTTAAAATTTAAAATGGTTAAAATATATATATTTTTGAAAAAATAATCGGCCGAAAGAGCGAAGATAAAAACATAAACAAAATAGAAAAATATTGAAAATATCCGAAAAGCAAAGTCTGTGAATTCAGACCTTGTGTATATAATAGAACAGTTATTCCACTGACTCTCATTGAATATGAGCGATAGCCTATACGGCGCTATGCGCCTCATCGGCTATCAGCTCATATTCGACTCCAGTTCGTAGAACATTTCATTGAACTGATAACTATTACATAATCGATGGTCAAGGATGCATAATCAATTACCCACAAGATTGGTGATCCATGTTATATGATCATGCAGTGGCGCAGCCGGCCCGACGATTTGGTCCCGCTATGCAAATTCCAACTCATTATCATTATTCATTTCTTTAGAAATTGATTATGTTGATAGTTATAAACATCGCAATATTTTCAGAGCGGGACTGAATCGTCGGGCTGGCTATGCCACTGTATACGATCTATGCATGCACGACCTCAGACGATGTAATTCGTATTACTGCATCATCATATTTACACATTACATTGTTGATAACTTTACGTACCCCTTAAACGAGCACAATTTAGGGTTACAATTACTCACGTATAATTTGTACTCATTATTTTATGCTGATTTTTTTCATCTATGAAACTTTTAGTGGCAATCAAATCCTTACACCAGATTAAAAGGAATAATTTTAGATATGACGGTGGAATGTGTACGAACGGACACTGCAAAATTTGAAGAGTACCTTTTCCGCCTTCGAGTCAAAGATATTACTTTTAAAAGAGTACAAGGTGATTAACTCTTAAGTGAATTCAAGCTTGCATAATTTTTAATTTCTTTGAATGACTATATATAGTCAGTATATTTTCTATCTATAGTTTGTTTGCTTATGTTTGTTTATTTGCTTATGTTTGCTTCTTTGCTTATGTTTGTTTGTTTGCCTATGTTTGTAATTTATTTGCTTATATGTTTGTTTGTTGTTTGTTGTTGAAATATTGATTGGTTGGTGAGTTAATTAGTGTTTTCTTCTTTAATGTATTTGTCTCTTGGTTTGATGGACAGCAAACAATAAACTCAGTCACTACTAAGTAATAGTATATAATTCCAAATTCTTGCAGAACAGTATCAGATAATTCAAATAGACAGTGGAGAAATTTCCAGCATCCCCATCGTGGATTTGGACAAAGATTGTTCAAGGAATATATGTTTCAGAAAAATTACAGTGGCTTCAACTTTAAACAAGTTAACGGCAGTTTGTGCCATTCAGTGGAAAGAATCAACATTGTCAAGATTGGACAACACCTCAGTTGCGGCTACCGAGAACATCACAGAATTGCTGTATTTGAGAAAAGTTGAAGAAGCATTCATCCTTGAGGTACATGCATTAGTAAACTGGAAGTATACGAGTGCGTTTTCGTTCACGAAATGGAATAGAGTCCTCAATATCTTGTAGAGCAAGATAGAATTGATTCTAATCTTATTATATAGTAAACCGATGGCAGTTTAATTAAAATAAAGTCTGGTTCACCCAATGGACCATTGAAATCATGCATCACTTGTGTTATAAGTGTTAATTCACTTAAAAAACCATAACACTGGTTCTACTTAACCAATTTTAGCCTAATAATCTTAGTGTAAAAATTCGTTTCCTATATACATTGAATGTTTTATGCTCACTGATATAATTATCTGTTCAAAAATCTGGAACATACAGCTTTGCCCGTATATTTTGTACCATTATACAATTCCCATAATCACAACAGTCAAAACTGCATGATATTCATGTTTCTTTTAGTGGAACTTGACGCAGGCTCGTTTACTTGCAAACATTACATTCAACCTAACTATTTTGTGTTATAACGACGAGGACGAAAATACTACCACAGTTGAAAAATCCGCTTTGGTCTTCCAAACTAGATGTAAGTATATAAATTCAGAAAACCGTTTTTCTCCGGTGTCTCCACATTGATCACAATTTTGCCACGGAGTATAATGTATAAATGTTGACAATGTCTGGTACTAATTTTATTCTATTCAAATTACGTTTTTGTGTCTATTTAGATGGATTTATCTCAGAGAAAAGTAGTGCAGATAAAAGTCGTATATATATAATATACTTGGCCACAATTTTGCCGCTGCTAGTCGTGCTGCTCCTTGTTATTGTTCTTATATTATGGCTCTTACGTCGTCGAAAACAAAGGTGTGTATAGTGTAGCATTGTATAGCGCATGTATGAACAATTCCAAGGGCTATTTAAACTGTTCCAATAATAATTACACAATGTTGGATGAGAATTTTAAATAAAGGTTATAAGCCTAATCCAACATCTTCCAACATTACCAAAGATTATATTCAAACAGACCCAACAATGCTGCATGCATCCAACAATGCATATAGGGTGAAGTTGAACCATGCATGCAACAAGCGAACGTGGGCTTTAGAGTATCAGATATGAGGTTAAGATTTTTATATTACGCTTACCTAATTACATACTTAGCCTAGACTATTTTATCTTTACAATAATTGTGATATTACTTCCTTTAACTATATGCATATCCTAACCCTCCTGTTAACTTTTCTTGTGCGGAAGGAAGCCACACTGCACTTTCGGCAGGCAGAGCGATGACGAGAGAATCGAACGCACGATTTCAGGTGCATGAAAGGCGCTTGCTTTGACCATGGCCTATCGAAGAAGAGATGGCTGTGAAACTCATTAGAATAACAATATAACTCATTATCTATGTTAATCAACGTGTATTCATAAATATGGTCCTTCACCGTCACGTGTGTACTGTATTTCTGCCAAATCCCCCAATAGCAATTTCCAGTTTCCCTTTTGTTCGAGTCACGGATAGGTGACTTTCCTAAGACATTGCTACTGGTTAGTTGGGTAAAAATACAATACACACGTGACGGTGAAGGACCAGATTTATGAATAAACGTTGACCAACATAGATAATAAGCAATTATGGATGAGGCTGAGCATGATATCAAGAATTATTCAGACCGAGGTCAATGTTATCTGCCGAAGCGAAGCTGAGGCGGATAACATAGACCGAGGTCTGAATAATTCTTGATATCATGCGAAAGCCGAATCCAATAATTGTTTTATTATACATTTAAAGACATGAGAAACATATAAAACGATTCCGGTTCATGAGGTAGGAAAAGTACAATTTGAATATCAAACACCTTGCACAAAGTCAAAGGTCAGCTAAATATTCTATTTCTACTTCTATTTACCCCTTTGTGGGTTTTTTCGTGCTTTCACTATCCTTATCTGCCAATAATTTGGAGAGTTCACATAGGTTCAAGCTTTTGGCCGCGCAGAGGCTTGGGCACGAGAGAGTCCAATAATTTTTTTTTTGGATGCAAGTTCGATCCAAAAAAACAATTATTGGACGCTGATGACGTAATCGGCGGAAAATACGTAATAAATGCCGAATACTGAAAATTAGCCGGTGCTTTCTGACCAATTAGAAACGAGAATACATATTAAATGTATAATAATGAGTTATATTGTTATTGTAATGAGTTTCACAGCCATCTTCCCTTGGATAGGCTATGCTTTGACGACTGCACCATTGAAGCACAATCAAGTATCTTCACAGTCATGCATTTTGTATTTTTCTGTCATGATTTCTTTTGTACATTTTATATTTACATGATTTATATATTTTATGTACTTTTATTTGTTTTATATCAAAGAATAAAAGAATCAACAAGCAAACGTGAGTTCTTTGTTAATTTCGAAATAGTTTATTTCGTGCATTTGATTTCGCTTTATTTCACCTTTTTTTAATTATATTTTATTAATTTTATTTCATCGCATACTCCACATGTTCAATTTATAGTTATTTCATTTTATACAATTGTTTTATGTCATTTTTCCCACTAACATTACTTTTTTATTCTCTAGATAATCTTCACAGCAGTGTGGAACGTCAATATTCTAACGGCAGTATCGACTCAGGTCTTCAATTAAACATTAATGGCGTTGAATGCAAGGTAGGGATAAACCTATTCTCTACAGAGGTTTTTCGCTACATTTTCGCCACTTTTTGTTTCACTTGTGTTATTGTTCTTGCTTCCAAATAATTGCCTTCGCCCGTATGCATGCTCTTGCCAATAAATATATTTTTGATCAAGCGTGCAAAAAGTCAGTTGCATGATTATTCAGTAAATTACTCGATTGTTTCGTCATTCGATCAAACAATCTTCTACTGTATATGCATGCATATCAATTTATTTTAATTTATTGATCAATCGATTCCCCTATTGATGAGTATAGATCATCTGCAAATGTTTTAGTTAAGTATATTGAGGAACAGTGCAATTAAGTGTTTTAATATGTATCAAACATTGACATATAATTGTGTTCTTGCTGTAGAGCGAAGAAAACCCTGTTTACGAACACTGTACTGCAACAGCACATCCTACAGTTACAATTGGTAAGAACCAAATTTTCCATTTTCTGTTTGTGACTGCATGGATACGTAAGTCCGGAACGTGATTTTTGCGCAACACGTCTACAATTAACTATAATACAAAAACAAAGTCCTCAAGGCCAGTTTACACTTGCAATTTTTGCCGCGATTTTAATTGCGATTTTCTTTTTCTGGTGGACGTGAGCAAGTAGATGAGTTATGAATGTTCAGATGAGGGTATATATATTCAGAACATCCATAACGCATCTACTCGTTCACATGCATCAGAAGAAAATCGCACCTAAAATTGCAGCAAAATTCGCTAGTGTAAAACGGACCTTAAACTATAGAAATGTGAATTAAGACAGAATGCGTCTATGAATAACTACTGTACCATCCTTGTAGAATCTACTAAAAATATTGACCTTATTTTTACACTTTATGTTTCAGCCCGGAACAAGCTATATGAATGCAGCAATGACGTAAAAGCAAGAGCAGACTCGGATATTTACGAAAAACCCATAGAGGACATCAAAGTGCGACAAAACAAATTTTATGCTAGTGTCGATCCTTCAAAAAATTCACCAAGGCTTAAACCGCATCCAACACCACGAAGTAGCCCGAAACCTAGCGCAAATCTTGCTCCAAAACCTGCCCCATTACCTCAGGCTGCAAAAAAGCCACCCACACCACCACGTTACAAGACTCCCAAAGTAATGAACCCGCCTGAAGAAGATGAACATGATGTTTATGATCAACCGTTGCGATTCATACCAGGTTTACAGAAAAAGCAAGATGATAAGAAAAGGAGAGATGAGATACCCTTAGAAGACTTCGAGAATCAGAGAGTCCACTCAACATACGAGAAGCCTCTGCCAGATTCACCTCCAACTTCGGGCATCTATGATTATGCAACGAGAGAAGAGTTGACCACAGCACCAACGCAATGTGAAGCTGAGAAGCCGTTGGAGTTCACGAAAGGGAAAGAGAATAACGGAAGTGTGAATTCCAATGGTTCTTTGTATGACGCTCCGCATTATGATGTACTGGAGAGGAATTAAAGGAATTCCTCGCATTAATTTTTGTGAAAATTGAGTATGCTGCCTGCAAATACGGACGTTTAATTTCCAGTATGTCAAATCGGACCGCGCGCTAATAATGCAGTTAGCACTATTTTCCATCCAGCAAACTGACATGACGTCATTTTCGGACGACGAAAGAGGTGTTAAATGGCTATGTAACTAACCCAAACCCTACCCCTACTCTAACCCCTAACTCTAACCCTAAAATCGATAGGGCGGTTTGCTGGATGGAAAATAGTGCTAACCTAATAATGCGGAATGAAGCAGATCATCAGTTATTTTGCATCATAACATCACTTTAAAAAAGTTAGATTTTGTATCGTATACCCTGTGCATAAAGTAATATAATAATAAAGCTAAATTCCGAATTGTTGTTTCAAACTAAAAATGCTAAATTGACACCATTATATAATGAAACTCAAATTATGTTGTCCATGCAATCTATTTATTATTTGCCGGTTTTATGGTAATTTTTATACCTTAGCTACAACTGATCACTGTATAATAAACACCATTCTCTATTTTCCTGTAAATTTTGTTGAAGTACAAAAATTTATCATATTGTATTCGTAATGATCATTTTTCGTGTTCTTAATATATTCAAAGCTATTTTTACCCATTGTAATTGTTATCCATGCATTTACCCAAAGCTATTTTTATCCAAGCAGCAATAGCTCATGAAGTATAGGGCGCAATGCAACATAATGGGATAACTATAGACACATGGGCACATAGTATGATTAACCCATTGAATATTGCCAGCGCTCTTCCCTTGTCGGGTAAAAATCCGTAAAATTGTCTGGAGTTAGATACAATAAAATAATAAAGTATATATAAAGGGCGTATGCAACTTATAATGGGTTAATACCTATAAATCGGACATAGATTTCGTCCTGACTTCACAAAAATTAGCTTCGATTTTCTCGGCCAAAACGAAACACGTCACCAAAATAGTTTGTAAACTTGATCACTTATAGACGCAATGTTTCGTTATTGCTGCATGATAAGATAACTATAACTAACTGTATATTTTTCTATTAATTTTATAATAGCAATTGAAGGCTCGGACAACAGGACAAATAAAGTCCTATATTAAATCCTGCCTGACACGTATATGTGCTATGCTAAATTACATCACTCACTATGAAACTAACATTTACAGAGTTAGACATTCATAGGCGTAAGAGACCTTGCAGCCCCATGATTCTATCGGCCAGATTCTACTTTAAAAATCGGGCAATTTGCTAGGCCTGCTCGTCTTGGTCTAATACATGTATTTTGTGATTATTATAATAGTCAGTGAAACTGAATGACAGATTGATATTAATTATTTCATTAAATTCGAATTGCATTGAGTGGAGTGAGGAGATTTCATTGTATCTTCAAGAACGAACACTCAAAACAAAACTGTTCAATGTCTCAAGCACTTGATCTATGAATATCAAAACACGCATTAAGTCATACTCAGTATATTCTTTTTTAGTTTAATAATATCCTAATAAGTGACTAAAAAACAAACACTTTGCCAGGCCACTCTGAGAATCCGCCTCTCCATGTAGGGGTTTGAAATTTATGCATTTAGTAATTTAGTTTTATTTGTGGATTGCGTGTGATACAGATATGGATGTAGTTATATTTTCCCATCCCAAGTGCTGCCGATCAAGGGGGTCATATTTTGTGCTTTACCATAGTGATCAAGTACTTAGGATGTCTAACTCTTTATTAGGCAATGACCGTTTGACGCAACCGAATTCAAAATTAATAACATTTCCCAAAAGTTCGCATACGTAATGACTGTACAGTACGAAAGGTTCCGACAGTTCTTGAGCCGCTTTTCTTTTGAAGTTGCCAATTGAGTGAATAATTATTGGGGCGTGATGAAAAACCAGAACTAAACCGCATGGATTCTGAACAGACTGCTTGGACACAGAGTACGTACATACAGATGGCTCACTTTCAGTCCGCCATTCCAATTAACAAGCGCCTTGAATAGGGGCCGTCACCCCCCTGAAAACATATTGAAATGTAATGTTCCGGGGGGGGTGAATGCCTCTCTATAGAACACTTGCTACGAACATGGCCGCCAGCTATTTTGGTAAAAACTACCTTACGGTTTTCCCGCAGAGATAAAGACCTCTGTATGTAAGTACTCTGTGGCCTGGATTTCACAATCAAAAAACCGCGTTGTTTGTTATATTTCTATACAGTAAATGGGTTAAAAACTAATACATATGCCCGAATTTAAGAATTGAAAAGATACTTGATGGATTCAAAACGATATTCTACTAGTCGCCCCATACTGTCAAAATAGCCGCCATGTCAATAGTTCGTTTTCAGTCTATCATTCAAATATCTTTGCAATCCTTCAGGTATAATAATATCTTTTCATTGGTTTTAATTCATTTTGTAGTAGAAATATACCAAACACAAGTTTTTTATTGTTATTTTTAACTTTTTGATCACTAAAAAATAACAAAGGCCTGCACCGTCGAATCCTTTAATTTCAATATAGAAGTTGCTTGCGTTGTAATTGGGGGTAGAGGGAAGAACAAATTGCGAACGTTCTTTTAACAGTAATATCAAATAATATTTATAAATTGAATGGTCCACTTTTTTAATCAGACTTATCCAAAACGAACCCCTTGCCTATATATGAAGCGCTGTTCCTGTATTAATGTGGGAACTCCAGACCACCAATCCAGTTTTTGTTTTAGACCTCTGTTTCGAGAAAAGACAAAGTGGCCGACAGGAGGATGTAACGACATACTTGTTGCTATAAACACTCTTTGTTCCGTAATGATGTGAGTTTGAACAACGAGGAAATTGCTTATTAAGTTAAAGAATGAAGCGAAACTTGTTACCACTTTACATCGTTGTTAACTGTGAACGAAGATGCACCATATACAATAGTCAATGAAATATATTCCAGTTATCAGGCTGAATTTTCTTTTAAGCATAAACTTTTTGCCGTTTCTGAAGTTTTTGACAAAAGATGGAACAGTTTACGTGGGATACTTTCATTGTGTTTGCGCTTTTGACAACTGTCATACCGAGTACAAAGTCTAAACAGACTGAAGCTCGAGTGTATAGATTTACGAAAAGAGATGTCTTCGAAAATCCAGAGTATTCGTCTTACACAGAATGTGGTGTGAACACGTGCACACAATACCAGGCAAAGTGTTTGGAAGATGGAAATTGTTGTTTGTGTCGATGTACCTTTAAATTTTCAACGTATAATGTGTCTGAGGCTAGATGTGTGGCGGACGAAACTATTTTGTCAGGTAAAAGTTATACTGAATACAGATAATATAATTCCATTTTTTGCTCAAGCGATTTAGTATACATGTATGTTCTTAAGGTAGAAAGATCATGCACATAGCACATTAATTTGACGAATGGGTGTGAGCAATCAATGAACATTATTATGTATAGAAATTTCTTCATTGTTACTGAAATGGCCCATATATTTTTCAATTAGCTGTTTAGAATTATATTAATTAAATCACTGTCAAAATATTTTCTTGCAACCAAGAAAATTAATATTATAGCTGGCATTACTTGGTGGAAAACTGGAAATTGTGTGTTTTGTCATTTGGTTGTGAAGCTAGCATGGAATTTTGGAACGGAAACTATTTGCTCATGACCTTAATAACACGTTCTAAATTACAATTTCCAACCATTTGAATAACTGTACTAAATAAATTGTAATATGTAATTTGAAAAAAATATAAGTTCGATCTGTACAAAAATCCTATAGCTACATTATTATGGAATTTAAATGGGAATTGCGGTCATTAAAACTAACTGCATGGAATGTACATAATGTACACATTAATGATTACTTATAGCAGATTCATTACACGCAATCCATACACATTACACGCAATCCTTTACCCTTTAAACTTTAACATTTTCAATATATTTTTAGCCAGTGGCAGTGCCTTTCGCTTCATTCGCAATGATGAAATTGAAACAGGCATACCTATGAGAACACTAAGTAAACCGAAACCCCTGGGCAAAATTGTAAAAATATACAGGAACTCGAGCTCGACTCTAAAGAAATGTAGGGTGCTGATGAAGACGTCATATTATTGGTCTGATAGTATGAGCGAGGATTGGACGCCACTCTTGAAGAGGTCGTATGGTAGACTGTTTGGAATACGAGCTACAAAGAATGACGTAACCCTACAGGTTAGGGCCAGTTGATATATCATAATTTTAAGTAATAGCTAAATTTGGAGTGGCCAGTTTGATGCACAATAACTGGTATTGTATTTTCTGAAATAATATTAACTCTATATTGTCTTATATTACTAATCTTATTATGAGATTATAATTATTAATATTGCTGAGACATTTATTATTCCCTAGCCTATTAAGATTTTACGATTCAGTACATTAATTTTACTGTATTGACCTCTCAACAAATTATTCAAAATACATTTTTCCATATATTATATAATTCAATATGAAACAGTAACTATTCATTTTATGTTACCTATATTGTTCTCAATTGACTTCCATTATTAATATTTGCTAGCTATTTACTTCTTTCAATTAAGAATTATATATTGACTTAAAAAAACTCATTAATAATTCACGAGGAAAATACAAAAGAAATGAATGTTTAATCAATGTTTGTAAATCGGATAAAGATTTGTCCTGATTTACATAAAGTTCAGCTTTGATTTTCTCGGCTTAGACAATGTTTATTTTTAAAATTACTTCACCAATGAACTCATAAGATGGGTATTTTTTAAGCACACTAAAACATTCGCATCCGATCTTTATCTGATATACAAACTCTCGCCTTCGGTTCGAGTTTGTATATCAGATAAAGATCGGATGCGAATGTTTTAACTATATAGTACATATACATAGATCTTCGTTGGAAATCCAATTTTCTTACTAATTGCAATTTCTATACTATGGATAGAGCATGGAAATACCATAGATTTAGTGATATAACATAAATAATAAATGATAAATTGCTGTTTATTTTGTTTATAATTTTTTAAAATTATTTAAGAACTATTGATAACTTTTGTATAGTGGGTCTACAGCAATTCTACGAGAAATTCATGGTTTCATGGCCGTGTTTTCCGTCTCAGTATTCAATGCGCAGGAATAACTTCAACCATCATTTTCAAATCAAAAAAGAATTGTAAGTATACATGACATATCTTCCCACATCATCATTTTTTCCACATTTCATATGTGAATATAATTATGCCACCATTTTACAACCTACATAACTCACATGCCTAGTTACCATTGTTGTGATAATATAAACATCGGAATGGAACAATTAAAGGTAACCAAGCATTTAAAGTATATGCTGTGCGAGCAAATTGGGTGGCAAAGATAATAAACATGTGTCAGCTACCTGATATATTATTGTAATTTTCCGTAAAGGCTAAGCACAAATTTTCATCAGCAAAAATAATCCGATTGAAAACGACCACGCCTTACAATTAGTCAAGATATATAAGTGGTGTTTTACAATAGTTATCCCACCATGCCAACATACAAGGGACTTATTACAAAAACTTATATTGTTCTGATTATCTTTGTTTTTATAGACAATCAAAATGATTTCATCGGTTGTTTAAATCCAAGCAAGACGACAACGTCACTAAAAAACACGTTCAGCTGCAGTACAATGACGCCAACGATGTGTGAACGTTTTTGTCAGGGACATGGACATTCTGTGGCCATGTTAAAGCAAGGAACACAATGCCTTTGTTCAGAATACACCCAAGTTATGAGATGGGATGAAACAAAATTTTCATGTTCAATACCGTGTGGTGGGGACGAGGGAACGTTTTGTGGTGGAAGAAAAACATACTCTGCCTACAGAACAATGCCAGGTGTGATGTACAAACCGATTTGACTTTTGAGAGAACCTGATTTAGAATGAGCGATCACATATACTAACTCTTTTTCTATATCTTAATCCATGTACTGTACAGCGTGTCCCAAAAAACCCAAAACTATTGAAATAACGTATTGTTAGAATTTGAATGCCCTAGCACTAAGCTGAACGCAAAGATGAGTAAAATATTGACAGGGTGCATATATTAAATATTGACATATTAAGAAATTTATTTAAAAATATCTTTGTAAAGTGCACATTTTGTGCCCTCTTGGGAATTTAAAGCAGCTTCTTCAACAGTTTCGGCTCAGTTATGCATAAAATTTACTATGTCAAGCTTTTATGCGCATGCACTTGTGGGTTCAGCAGAGTGCTGATGCATTCAAATTCTATAACAATACGTTATTTCAATAAGTTTGGGGTTTTTGGGACACCCTGTATTTACAATAATTTATTCTTAAATTTTAGAATGGCCTGATGATTTCAAATTTACCTCAAATGGGTCATTAAATTCCCTGGAATACCGCTGTACGCAAATAAAGCAACCCAATCCTTCAACCTCCTGGAACAAAACATACCTATGTGTCAAGAAAATAGGAACGAACATAAAACTTAGATGGCTCTCTGAAAAACCACGAGAAAGAATCTTGGTTAACCGACGGTGTATTGCAATCAACCATGCGTCAAATTCATCTTTTTGGAAGGATAATTTTCTTTGTGTGTCCAAAGAAGTAGGTTTAAAATTCATGTGGTCGTATTCTGGGGCTATTTACGGAATGAAATGTCTGAAAATGGAGGCAGAAGGACCGTTTGGTTGGGAAGATAATTATCTTTGTGCAGGTACAGTAATACAAATTTGTATTGCACACCTTATCTGACATATATGGCTATTGTGGCATTGACCTTTAGGAAGTGAATGTAGCTTCAATATGTTAAACGGTAGTCTAAAATTTCGTAGAATAGTGGTGGATTGTATCTTGTTATGGCCTGAAACCGGCGATGAGTCTCAAAATATTGAGTAAAATTACTCAAATTTAAGAGCAAATTTTCTCATCAGTTTTGGAGCAAGGTAATCTTCACTCAAAAAATTGAGTAAATTTTCTCACTGATAAATTTAATTGAGTAATTCTGTTCACAATTTTAAGTCACTGTGGGTGCATGCACTTAGCTTACTCCTCTTTTTTAAGTCAAAATACTTAGAAATTTATTGCAGTGGCATTGACGCTCATCGTTTCTCTCATTCCGTTTTCAAATGTAGATCGCACAGAGAAAAACCAAACAATGGTGAGGATATATTAATGTAGAATTTAGATATGGACTAACATTTTTCCAAATAGAAACAGTACTGTTAACAGCACCTTACAAAGTACCGGTTATGTCATATTGAGAGTGTCATGATGTACAATAATAAATACGTACATGCATCAGTGGAAGTCATTTGACAGGAAAGAGTTGATGAGTATAATAATAAAGACTAATAAGGAGATTTCGACCTATACATCATGGTAGCCTGACAACACACTTTCAAAACTCCAGTGTTGCTATCAAATTAGTAATTTGGGGGAAATAAAAGCTTGCATTCACATGCAATATACTAAATAATAAATAAATAGTTTTTTACTGCCCAGAGATAGAGGAACTAAATATCGCAACAGGAAGCGATTGACCTTCCTTGCCACGGTACCGGTCAAATGATCGTACGTACCTTTCTCCCCCCCCCCCCTCCAGTCCCCCTCCTGACCGCATCATTTTATCCGGAGGTTACCTTTTTATAAGTAAACTTGTATTAATGACTACTATACACACCCAATGTTTCTAAATAGTTCCTTTCTCCAATTCCTAGGTATCGATGCTGTGTCCACATAGAACAGTCCCACGCACTAATAACCCTACCATAGCCACACACACTCAACAAAGATACATACATACAGACAGCTTACCTCATTCATCAAAATACCTTCCATCCCAGTCAACTAGCGCCAGTTCTAGATCAAAACGAGACCCTAACAAGAAAGAGAAAGACCATAATGAGTTAATACCGTTGTATATTTTCGTGACTTTGGCTTCTATTTTATGCGCTTTGACGTTTGGTGTGGTGGCTGTGCTGTATTTTAAAAGGAAAGTAATGTCGAAGCGAATTTTGAATCCACAAGCACGAATTACTAGTAAGTGCTTGTCTTTCATATTATTATAAACTAGAAGGGCACTCGGAGAATGCATCCTCCGCCAGCGAATCAGGTTATGTATCATGCATAAATTATACAATGGGCTAATTAGGTATTCAGTTTACTTTACCCAGCAAAGCAAGACAAATTTAGGCAATTCCAGCTTTTAGTTTATGCGCGCAGAGGGGGATGGGAAGAAAGGTATTATATTGCTGATTATGCTGAAAAAATAAAAATGGCCGGTGACCCTGTAAACACGGAGTGATACTGTAAATATTGAAATATCTTGGTTGTTTCGGCAGTTTTCATTGAAATTTTTCAGCATAATCAGCCATATGATACCTTACTTCCCGTTACCACCTGCGCGCATAAATTAAAAGCTGGAATTGCCTGTTTCTCATGCAATTTTCATCCAAATTTAACCAAAATTTAATAAATTTGTTCTTGGACAATGCCTATTAGTCCCACAAATTTTCGTGTTAATACGTTCGATATTTCTTAAGTTATTGTGCTGACAGACAACACACACACAGTAACACATACATACGCGGATAAAAATATGACCTCCTGGCGAAGGTAATAACTAAATATTAGAATGCTTGTGATGTTACTATATTAGAATGCTTGTGATGTTACCGAAAAATATGCCTGGCCACGGTGGGAATCGAACCTACGACCTTTGGAATATTAGCCCAATGCTCTGCCAACTGAGCTACGCGGTCAAGTCGGTTCGAGTAAGTGATTTATCACAAGCATCATATTCACCTGAGTACATCATATCAACACAGAAAAAAAAATCATGATTACTAGATTACATTGATATCGGAGGAACTAGATTCTGTTCCGAAATATCACTTACTCGAACCGACCTGACGGTCGGTTTGAGTAAGGTCGTAGGTTCGATTCCCACCGTGGCCAGGCCCGGTGTGGATATACATTCAGAGTAACATCACAAGCATCATATTCACTTGAGTACATCACATCACATCACATCACATCACATCACATCACATCACATCACATCAACACAGAAAAAAATCATAAATATTAGAATGTTCTCCCTGAGTAAATAACTGGAGGCATATGCATATTTGGCCAATGCTTAGTTACCCTAGTTCTATTCTAGTATACGATTTTGTAAACCGGCAGAACTATATAGCAACTAGGCATGATTTCCCCCAAGTGATGAATTGCTAGGCAACGTTGTATACATGTGTAAACCAAATTATATTTTTAGTCTATTGAGACTTTTAACAAATTCTTTTAATTTTAGATTTTGACAACCCTATCTGGCAGATGGATAAGAAGACGTCGAGTAGAAAAATAGACACCAGACGGAAAAGCCGAAAGGAAAGACTTCCCTCTTTACCAGCCTTGACAAGTGAAACGTATCCACTACAAACCCCAAATACCACACTAGAATCCGTTGATGACCCATCGCAAACACAAAATACGCCGCCTGAAAACCATTATATTACACCAGACGCCGAAAATACTAGCCTAGCCCCACTAACGTTGGCAGCAATAGCTGATGGACGAAGCAAGACACTGGAAATGGGAAGTGGAGTCTACGCCGAGATACCACTGGACTCGAATTTCAATCCATTCAACACACACGATTTAGAAAATAGTGGCACGAATAGAGTTTATAGTAATAATAACAATCCATTGGGCAATCCAACATATGAAAGTATTGACAGCTGTTTAAATCCCGAGTCTCTATACCTTGAAGTATTGCCTTAGTAGAAGCTCGATAAAATATTGAAATTGCCTTTTGTTGAGGTCTTAGAAAGTAGACTATTGATACCTTTTCATGTTTTCTTGGTTCGACCAATATTGTATGAAAGAAAGAATTATAGTCTTGTTTTTCTATTATTTCTGATTTTATAGTTGACTAATTTTTTTTGTACAAACTGAAATCTGTCAAACACTTTTCATCGTTTGTATAAACTGCTTTACGTTTTTATCGTTTCACAAACTGCTTTACGTTTTTATCGTTTCACGCAAGCGATCTCATTCCCACATTAACGCCTGCATTCTAAAAGCTCACGCACGCTCAATTTGAATAGCTTCAGTTTGAATAGCTGGAGGGTTAGCGTCGTACTTTACTATGCGACTACTCGCCCTCCAGCTATTCAAAACTGAACAGCATTGACACTCACGTCAAATCAAATCATATTTATTTCCGTAGGGTAACCTCTTCAGTAATGTATCACTGGTATCAATGAGGGCCTCCTCCACAGGCAACTCTTATGGCATCCCAAATGGCAAACTTTTGAAAAATCCCCATCAAAAAAGAGCAATACTGTCGCGAACGGCGAATTAATCCCAAGATCCCCCTTTATCCGCCTTTCCCCCAACCCAATCCACTTAATTTTATTACTACTCGGCCAAAACAACATTAATTCGCCGTTCGCGACAGTATTGTTCTTTTTTGATGGGGATTTTTCAAAAGTTTGCCATTTGGGATGCCACAAGAGTTGCCTGCGGAGGAGGCTAGGCCCTATCAACATTCTTACTGTGATCACAGAAACATTGATAGTGTAAACCAGCCTTACCTTTATAGCAGACAGCCATGCATGGAGTACAGGTTTTCCTAATTACTCTTCTTTTTTTTAATTGGTGCATAATATATACTTATCAGCAACTTGAAGAAAGAATCTTTTCAAGTTTCCTAAACCTTAATATATAGGATCGTCAAAAGATTCTATATATAGTGCCAAGGAACTGATTCAAATTTAGATATGAAGAAATTACTTCTCAATTACGGAATAAAAGCAAACGAAAGTGAATAAATGCGAATAAAACTAAATAGACTACATGCAAGGCTGAAAAATTTACTTCAAATATAGAAAAAGTACACGAAATATTATTTCGGCACTTTTTTATCGTGTCTAACGTCTACATGCATGTACAAGTCCCTCAGGCTATTTCTCGCCCTTCTTTGCACGCGGTGTCATGTCATATATTCGCACCACAGCGGTACATCAGAAAAATAGCTATATAGGAAGTTAGGAACTTGGCCCAGCATCAGCTCGTTTCCTTGAAAACCTGCATGCACTGAAATCCAGCATGACTCAACTTTATGCCACCTTGCGTTAACAACAGAGTTTTGCGTCTTTACCACGATTTTATATTCGGATAATATTCCCATGATTATCGCTCTGATATATAGCGTGCAGACAGGATATTGTGTATTTACCCCGGATTGCCTTTCAAAGTATTCCTCACCAATTTATCGCGGAAAATAGTTATTAATCTAAACCGCATTTAAGGACAAACAATACAAGATGACGTCAGAAAAAATTAAACCAGCCCACGTGGCCTTGCCTTTTCCTTCTGTCCGATTTGGCAACTGCTATACTTCACTATGTCAACTAGCCGTGTTGTGTGAGAGCTTGACCGTTGGTCGTGTTTCGTGGGTAGGGAGTCGTGGATCGTTGGCAAAATGTCGTCGGTCTCAAAATTTTGTAAAATTTATTTATCGGAACCAATTTATTTTATGTTTGTGATGTTACTCGGCTGAGTGCGCATCCACACCGGGCAATCTGAAAAGTTAGCTTTCCCACCGTGGCCAAGCTAACTTTTCAGATTGCCCGGTGTGGATGCACACTCAGAGTAAGTTGAGTAAGATCACAAACATCATATTCACCTGAGTACATAACAGGTCAACACACACAAAATAATTTATTTTAGATTATAGATTACACTTCGCTCTGACTTCGCCGGGAAAATACAAATGTATGACTTATATTTATAATGGATATACATGAGTAAATGACGGAGGGATGCATCCTTAACTCAAGACACCATATACAGTATATTAGAATTAATTCTCAAACGGTGGTGCCACTCAGCTAATTTATTTTTAATATTATATTAACTTCGCTAGATAGTCTAACAGTTATCAAAAGTAATAATTTAACCGACTAAATAGACTATGGCAGGGTATTCGCAACAGCGATTAGCCAATTACTGCGAACCCAAAGCTGCAGTGTGACCTATAAACAATGAATACCTGAAAACTTCAAAAGGTAAAAATTTCTGCTTATATTTTTCAGGCAGTTGCCCTTCACAGCCGCATGCATCTGTCCACTGGAATAGTCTAAACCTTTCAATTTTAGAAATAATACATCTAACAGCTCAATCAGTATAACATCAATTTAACTCTGGCAGCTATAGGGAGCACAAGTGGTTAACTTCACTAAGGAAAGGATACAGTTAACGGCTACCCTTGGCTTCGGTTTAATTTGCCGACAACAATATAGTTTGCACCTAAATCTACTCTTATATTAAATCACTTTTCTGTCAGCACTATATTTGTTCTAAAACAATTTATTTTACTTTACTGTAAGTCGGTTTTAAAACCAAAACATTTCAAATCCTCAAGCAATTGACGGAGACGGATTGTGGCTGAATAAAATGTCAATTTGCAACATATAGCAACAGAGAAGACCAGAAGAATATAGTATTGCTGCGGTTAATGGCTATAAAGACAAAATATTATAAAACAATTATACCATTCATGGTTAATTGTTAATTATACCATTCATGGTATAATTGTTAAATATATTGCATTTTTCATAGCATTGCAAAGATAAAATCTTTAATTTATGGAATTGTTTGCAAAACCGCAATGTTGACTTGTTCACGATCAACGACCTTTTACCCACGACTCGCGACACGCGACCAAAACAGGACTATATATATAATGCCATATTTCATTTCCGCACACCTATATACTGGGAAGGTATATTTCTTAGCAATCCGAGAAGACATCAAGAAAGGGTTATTCAAGTTGTGTTATAAATCACTCAGCCCCGATTAGAGTTTGTTTAAATGACCACAAATTAAAACACAAAGGTTATATTCCGATCGTGTTGTGTCCGTTCCAGACAATTTGTTATGCACTTGTGTGCGTGGTTTATTATGTTACTTCGAGTGTGTTTATGGTTCGCGGTTCTTGTCCATAGTTCCGTTGCTGTCCCAAAAACTTACAAAAACAGTCTTCGAAACTGGATACGTCAGTGTAAGTAAATTTATTGTAGTAAAGTTTGTCTTCGCGTGATTTTGATGTGTTTAATTGATTACATTGTATTGTCGTGTTAAATATTAATTGTTTAAGGTAGGGCAAGTGCACGAGTCTAGCGCTGCAGTATATAGAAAATAAACAAACATCGTGGAAAAGCTCGTTGTAAAATTGAAGCAACAGGCTATATAAAAAAGACATTATTAGACTATATTACAAATTTACAGAAATATTTGGATCAACGCTGAAATCTGATCCTTTTTATAATACACGTTTGGACTGTAGCGCGTGGAATGATCTTTGATCTTCTTTGCTATAGTTACTGCAAGCTTTACTCCTGTAGGTTGGGAAAATTGTATTTGATATAGAGCGCTTTCAACGGGGGTAAAGAACTTTAGAGTTAAAGAAGTAGGACATTTTGAAATTACATATAAGTTTTATACTTGTAATCAGTGTGACCAAACGACAATGTTCTTGTGCACTATTACAACATATTGAATAGGACAAGCCTTAATTTACATTTCTGAAGAGCGTTCGGAAATGGAACTGTATGAGAGTCAGTGCTAATAAACTGCGTTTGTATTCACATTTTGTCACTGTCTTGTTGTTGAAATTCCTGACTCTGTTATTGTTAATTAAACATGCCGAAAGTGAAACAAGTGCATATACACAGTTTTCATAATATTCTTCAATGAGGCGGTAAATATTGTCGCATGTGAATTCGAAGAGTTTCTTACATTTTCTTCTCATTCCTACACAATGGTAAACAGGCTATGGTTTTTTTGAGGGATTAACAACTGGCAGTATTTATTTGCGTGTTCGACAGTCGACATGCATGCATTTATTTATTTTGCCACAATATTTACAAAAGACATTTACAATTACATAACGCAACAATATTAACAAAAACAACTATAGTCGAGAGAAAATAATTGTGAAAATAATTTGTGAAAACGAGTGAAACTCAAGGCATACGTGACTTATTCAAAAATGTAAATTGTGTCGCAGCAGATAAAAACAAGTTTCGTTGCTGCAGGTGGTTAAGTAAATAAATTGGTGCAAATTAGTAACCATATAAGCGAAGTCGTAAACGCATCTTTTTGACGTTCAATCAATCAATAGTTCTCTAGAGTCGTAAAAACAAAAACATTTGCGAAATGCGAAGAAATAGAGAATAATACATGGGTGCGCGGAAATACCAGATTTATTTCGAGTGTTGAACATGATATCTCACGAGTGAGCGCAGCGAACGAGTGAGATATCGTGTTCAACACGAGAAATCAATCTGGTATTTCCAAGCACCCGTGCATTTTTCTGTTTATTATATAAACAAAATTCAGTGAAAACCAATAAAACGTCCGTGGCAATGCGTTTTACAACAAATGATATTTTCACACGTAAAAATATCGTATTTTTTACGTGTGTTTAAATACGATTTTTCTCAGTGGCCAAAAACTCTATATAACACTTATATGTTTATATAATAAATAAATATATGTGTGTTTGTGCAAGCCAGCTGGGACAAATGTGGTTGAATAATGAATACACTTGGACTTTGGAATTCAATACGGTTAAAAGCCATACTGTGTTATTACTTATTTGCTCAAGCAACGACACAACGGTGTATCTTAATAATGTATTGTTTATTACTTAAATTTGAGTATAATTTTACAAGAGATAAACGAGAAGTATATTATCTGGACTATCTGTTGTTTTTATCATCGACGTTTTCCTTAAGTGAGCTTTATTTATACTTTGTGTATCTCAGTTCTACCGCGGTAGCTATAAGCGGGTAGAAAGCTGAAGCCGTGCATGTAGATTTGCATTGTACTTGCTCAATAAAATGCGATATTTAAGCCTAGTGGCCATTTGGTCGTTAGTTGTCGCTGACACGACAAGCGGTAGATGTGAAATAGTCTAATATAATAATAGTCTTTGTGTGTGTTATATGCAAATCAGTCTTAATGATTGCAGAGTTTTGTAAAGTTTTGTTGACACTCTATTACATCAGCCACTTGTCGTGCCAGCGACAACTAACGACCAAATAGAAACTAGGCTTAAGCCATAACACAAAATTATACATGCATGTAGCTATATGCAGAGTTTAGGCTTACAAAATTTGGCCTTGTTATAATTAATTCCATGCCCCGACCATGACGGCATGGTAATGAGAGCTATGCTGAGATACTTCTGTATTGATACCATGATACCAAACAAAAACAACAAAAACAACAAAAATGAAAGTGCATGAGAATGATTTTGAAACAAATAACACTTATACAGGTGTGGTTTACCTAATATATTTAAATGGTTAAATATAATAGGTAAACCACACCTGTATAATTGTTATTTGTTTCAAAATCATTCTCATGCACTTTCATTTTTGTTGTTTTTGTTTCTTAAATTATCCTGTAAAATTGACTCAAGAAATTCTAAAGAAAATTAATTTAGATACAAAATTTATAGAAAAAGTTCCGTTGTGAAATATCAGATATTGACATATTGACATCGCCCACATGACATGAGATGACATAAGAAAGATTGATAATTATGGATCCAATATTTTACAAAGCAGATGGTTCTATGGTTGAGAGGTTTCCCAAGAAACGACATCATTTAAGTTTTTTATAAGTACTGATAACGTCAACGAAAACCTGTTTTTGTGTTTTGTGTATCAGCATTGAATATATACGATGACAAACAACTAATTTTCAAATTCAGTAGACTAATTCTTTCAAAAAATATTGCTATTGGAACTTTAATCCGCCTCGTTTTGCACATTTTTTTCCCTCTTACTCTCTGTATACTTCAGCTTGTTTGATAATTTATACGTAATATCAAATAATATAGATGGCGGGTGATGCCGACAGCCGTTCTTATATTTGAAATCACGAACGTGAAACTGCATTGACTGCCGTCTACCGTTCTTCATTTCAAGCAGGAACTGCATGCTGTCGCGCCATCACTCGCCGTGCATCTCACTATAGCCTGTTTTCCACTAGGCGGAATTTTGCGCGCGGAGCGGAATTTTTCTTTGTCTTTTCTAATTAGTTCCACCCGAGAAATCACAAGACAAAGAAAAATTCCGCTAGCTCCGCGCGCAAAATTCCGCCTAGTGAAAAACCGGCTTATGACAGCTCGATTGTCTTCCGATTGGCGTACGTACGTGTTCAAAAACGTGACTTGCTTAAGCTCTCTATAGAACTATATTCCGACGATGACGCAAATTCTAATCAAACCAGTATAATGGCTGAACATGTTTTCCACAATACTAAAGTAATTGATAAATCTAACCATTGGTCCTTTTTGCTGTATCAAGAATCCCTCGCTATTCAAAGATATAAATTTACCTGAACTTTATAATCATGAACTTAAAGCTTCCAAAGAACTAATCATATTTAATTAATTCATTAATAGTCAACCTAATGATTGTATCATATTTCTTCATATAAATACGTCTACGACCATACCACCAGGAAAACACTGTTTTTGATGTATATAACCTATAGGTAGTTTATCCTGATGATGACTGAAATATAGTCGAAACGTAGATAAATAAGAATGTTATCGATTTTTGGAGTTTCACTTGTTTTCATATTTTGTTAAAATACTCAGTGGTTCTAAAAATTCTTAAGCTCTCTAATGTAGTAATGCAATATTTCATCGTTAATTTTGTTCCTATATTTTGCTGGGGTATTGGTATGAAGTTCACGTCTTGAAGGCTTTTTTCGCTGTACAGCTGACCGGCACTTCTTTTTGGCCTATTATTGAGGCACCATGCACTTCTTAGATTAAAAATATATTAATAGTTAGTTTTGTTTTGTTCTAAACTATAAAGCCTTTCGGGTCTACTGTGTTTAGGTAACTGTTCGTGTTTAAGAGAAATACCAGGCGCAAAAAAACATGTTTGGCCACAATGCATAACGAAGGAGGCATTTACAATGGATAAGCAAGGCGATCTTCAAAACAATTCACATTTGAGTACAATGCCAATGAAACCACACTTTTTAGTAAGTATTGTTATATATTTCTAATCCATGGTTGAAAAAGTATTAAAAATAACGAAGGCATATAAAAATGTTTACCCATTAACAATTGACACCTTCCCCTTGACAAACAAGTCTTCCGAAGTTAAAAAGACGCGGTAAAATAACAAAGTATAAGGCTGCGTCCAGACTGGGTGCCCGACACTGGTGCCACCGTGCCCATCACTTATTTTGGCGCCTAGTTTGAACACGACGCTTCCAAATGAAGTTGGGCACAGTGCCCAAGAAAGGCCACTACTTCTAGAGGTAGTACTCAACAACGGCACTGTGCTCAACATGTTTTGTGAACCATTTTGAACATTGGGCACCAGTGCCGGTATTAGGGTGCATGCATATAGTATAAATTTTTTAGTTAAATCTATTCCACTCTTTAGGTCAGTGTGATAGCAGAAAATTTTCAGACGTCTTTCAATACAGTTGGTGTAATAAACGTCAAATAATACTCACTGCATGATATTATAATTATTTCCTTAATCTGTAGTGTCAAGAAAATCTAGTAAAGAGAAAGAAGTTGAACAATTATGTATTGCTAAACCTTAGCTGCAATGGAGAACGCTTATACGTAATTTATAAACAACGTCCCAGTAAGTAGAACCTTACTATAATATTTATACAAGTATCTTTTCTCATTTGCGTAAGGGGAAGCCGCCCCCGTTGCCCTTTACCAGGAGGGGTAAAGGTGCCTTTTCAATTTAAAGGATTGCCTTGGCGAAATAGCGAATTGTCAGAAATGTTAGTGCAATTCTTTTACGAATTTGCTTCAGAAAACGCAAGAAATGCAGTCATCGAGCTTCAAGAATAGCAGTTATAGCACAATCGCCTGGCGGAGAACCCCCTCACACCCCTATCATCCAATAAATAGAAAACATGATTAGGCGAAGTTCAACTCCCAATGTTTTGTAAACATCTCTTAGTATATATCAATTCAAAAGTGCCCTTTCATGAAAATCTGCCCCCCCTTGCCTTCACATCGTTCCGGCGTCCCTGTGTATATTTGCATTAGGAAAGCAAAAGTATTTTAAAAGTGTTTCCTCGCTCAAAAAAGTATGTTAAAAATAAAAATATTTTCGTAAAAATATGCGATTATATACGACTTTACCCACGACACACATTTTACTCACGACATTTTACTCACGACATGAAGGGACACTCGTATGGAGTAAACAACTTTAGGTGTTGGTTTAGTGGAAGCATGTATCCCATAATACATTGCGTACGGACGCGTGCTGTGACATAATGCTTGCGAGACTTATTACGCTCATGAGCGTAATAAGTCTCGGAAGCATTATGTCACTGCACGCGTCCGTACGCATGCAATGTATTATTAGACAGATTAGGGAGCTTTAGATTTGACTACGAGTACGACTACGAGTACGAGATTTGATCGCGTGCGAGGAAATTACCGTAGTCGTTTTCGTTTCCATTCAAATGTTGCTTTTATAACAGTAAACCAACAACGGAGAGAAAAAGTTTCATAAACTAAATCTCCTGCAGACTAAAATCCCCTACAAAACGTGTAAATAAATCATAACATTAAAAACAGGCCAGATATTTAGTACTAATATATTATTTGCGCCGGATAAACGCTATATAAATGCTACAAATTATTTTTGGAAAACAAAAAAAAAGCCAACTTTCTTTGTTTTTTGAAAATTCGTCGTGAGGACTACGAGGTTTCTCCACAATTTCGTACTCAGATGGGCGACGGCTACCACTTTTTCGCGTCAGTACGGGATGGCGTAAGCATACAGCATGCGTTTTCGCTTGACGAATCTCGTACTCGTAGTCGTACTCGTAGTCAAATCTAAAGCTCCCTATTTAGATCGAGGACGCGGACGTCAAAGACGACGTGAAAATGGCGTCAAAATGGCCTGGCATATCCATACATGGGCACAACACGCCATTTTCACGTCGTCTTTGACGTCCGCGTCCTCGATCTAAATTTGTCTATTGCATACATGCTTACACGCATGTTTTCAAGGGTCATGCGTGCTCACGCCGGATCGATGCATGTGAGTCGCGTTTTAGGGGGAGTTACTATATTTAGACTTTTAGGCTTAGGATTAGGGTATGGATCAAAGAAAGGGCTAGGATTAGGGTTAGGATTAAGATGAGGATTGGAGTAAGGGTTAGGGTTAGGTTTAGGGCCAATTATAGGAGTAGGGTTAAGTTTAAAATACAAAAGCATACAAAATTACAAAGGTCTAAAAATAAAAGTAACTCGCCCTGAAACGTGACAAGTATATGTTTGACTGCCATGATATCATGCTCGCAAGTCAGGCTCTGTACTTCCGCTTCCCTCTCAAACACGCCCCATCCATTTGGGAGGGAAGCCAGAAGTAGATCTAGAGAGCCTGGCTTACTTGTAATTTTAATTATAATAGTTAAGAAGTACTGTGGCAAATTTCTCAGACTATCATTCAAAACCAAAAACGAACTCCATGAAGAGAAGTTTCAGGTTAGCTCTAAGATCTGGAATCAGCGTCTAAATGATAAATTGTAAATATTATAATTTCAATCTTTTACTTGTAACTATTACACGGTCCAATATATGAAAATCAATGTCAATTGACAGGTAATTACCGTCCGTGTATAAAGATAATTTTAAAATTTGGCAAAGTCACCTATATACAGACGAGCAAATAAAACTTGTCAAATGAAAACGTCATAAAAAAATTGCCGTCGTCTGTAACCTGCGTAACTCTTAAGACAAAGACATTTTATCTCGCGATTCAGTTGGATGTCCAGTTGAAATAACGAACTGCATTACCGCTTTTCGTATATCTGAAGCTAAATGAAACTAATATATCGAGAGAAATGCAAAATGAGCCCTGGTAATAAAATAAAGATTTTGAAAAGAACAATTATACTAATACTGTATATAGTCATACATGTCTAGTTTTGAAGTAAAATATTTAACATATTTTCCATATTATTCTTCGTTTAGGACATATTTAGATTTGTACGTTCGCACATAAATGACGTCATTTGCATTGCAATTATGACGTCGTATCGCGTATCAGGGCGGCTATTTCGGAAACGAAATGTCATGATTATGCAGTTTTAAATTGGTGATAATTGAGTGTTTATGCTAATTGACCTGTATTTAAAGTTGTTACGCGGTTTTAGATGATAAACCAAAAAACTATCTTCTCAGATTTTTCAGAATTCGTCAAGCTGGACTATATTTAGTCCTGTGTTTATAATCTTATATTTTAGCCAGGTTCAGTGGAGCTTTACGCAACACATCAACGTTGGGAACTGATAGAGTACCTACGACTCTTCCCACAAAACAAGTAAGAATACGATATTATGATTTTATATTTTTACTTTATAGTTGATTTGTTTATATCACTGGAAAAAATTTTGAAAATCCATATATAAGGTCATCGAATAGAAATTGTATGGAACTTTATTGGAAATAGAATGGATTTTGATAATCCATAATAATTGTATATTTCCATACTATGGATATAGTATCGAAATAGCATGGATATACTATGGATTGAGTGGTTTAATTGTAAATTTCATAGTACGGATTTCACATTTTTTCCCCAGTGTAGCGTGCATGCGTTCAAATATATACATTTGTTTATACATGTTGCATAGACAAAATTCAACAACATACATAATATGATTGCAGGTTGTATATACTAGTTTATAACATGTGAGAATATATAAAATTAAGCGTATAGTCTATAGAACTATAAAGCGAGTTGGCATGAGATGAGAGTTGGCATGCCACGCATTGTTATAGGAAGGGAAACAAACACGAAAGGGCCAACCCTTAAAACCGTCACTATGTAAACGCAACAAAGTATATATAGGGCTATATATGGGGCATCGGTGGCGAAGTGGTTAGCACACTTTCCTTTTACTTCCAAGGTCGCAGGTTCAAATCCTAGTTAGAACTTTCCCAATATGCGACTCAAGCCCAGTCCTCGTGCGAAAAGAGTAAAAAGTCAATGCTCTGCCGAAAGTCGTGGGCATTCCAAGTACTCCGGTTTCCTCCCACAGGGAAAGCTGACAGGGTGGGCTAGGTAAAAAGGGCCCACAGTAATATACATGCCCTGCCCTAGTTGGAAAGGCTAAATGAACAAACAAATAAACATAGCATGCTTTTACTCGAATATAAAAATGTTATATAGCATTTCTAATAATAAGTTCTTTGCATATTTGCATGGCGATAAAACATATAATAGTTTGTTTGTGGAAACACCACGTAAATTTATTACTGCAATACATAAATTTACGTGGTATTTATATTATGCAGTAATAAATTTACGTGGTGTTTCCACAAACAATTATATAGCATTTCTAATGTTATGTGCTGCAATGCGCTGCTGCATGGGGAAATGAGGAAGAATTTTTGTACTCAAAAACTCCACATTCATAGGGTGAAATTTAAAACAAAAACAATCCGCATTCTTTGCGTTGTTTTTAAACATTCCGCAACTATGACATCTTCGGAAACAAAAACTTCCTCCTTCGAATTCCGCCTTCATCTCGCGATATAAATACTCGGCCGCGACACAATTTTCACAATTACACAATTTTTCTTTCGTATTTAGGCGGAAACGAAGCAAGGTAAGAGTGAATCACCAAACAGATTAGTTATCGCACTAAGCGGCATCGGTCTTGGCTTAATGGTTGCCATTATTATTTGTTGGACTTGGATACGCTGTCGAAGAAGAAGACTAAAAAAGTAAGCATTGAAAAGTTAGGACCCCTTCCACATGCAGGGATTCCTTCGAAGGTCTCCATATGTACGTTTAACTTCTCTACAAGTGGTCAAAGAAAATCCATAGCTTAATTTAGGGACCGATCATTATTTATGGCCGGGGGGGCCAAGAGAAAATGGGTGGGTAAACAAAATTTTATGGGTGGAAATGGGTGGGTTGAATAAAAATTCACGAAGCCAAGGGGTGGGTATAAAGTAAAAATTATTAAGTCGGAAAATACTAAAATATTTGTATTATTTGTTCATTAAGATCGAATAAATATCATTTACTTTATATATCGATTTGCAAAGTATTCCATTTGAACCTGCCATAACAGTCATGATAAAGTGACAGAGTTCATACAACTTTTTTGTTCTCTCAAAACTCAATATGCGGCTCCATACGTTCTCTGAAATCTACATATGCAGGAAGTTTTATATTTGACTTCCACAGGAAATTTTTATTTTTGGATTTTGCTGCCAGGAATTAACAGAAATATATTTTCTAGGCCTAACATTCATATTGTAATTTTTGCTATAGAAAAGCTGATGAAAAACTCGATGAAAAAGAACAAAATCTAGAATTTGGTGAGATAGACGGTAAGGGCACGTGGTGACGTTGCTTTCTAAAAACAGCCCTCTGTTATAAAATATTTTGTCTTTTCTTAATTTATGTCAGTTTCTTTTTCATTTGATACCCTATTTTCTATAGAGGAAGAAGACAGTGCACCATATCGTATCGTGGATCTCCAGACAAATATTTCTTGTGACGCCTCAGGCTACACTTTCCTGGAAGCACGAAAACAAGATGAAGAACAGCCGTACATGAAATTACAACCGAAATGTAGAAGGGTTCAGAACAAGGTATGAGAATGCAATGCTTAACTCTTCAATCAATCTTGGCTTCCTTCTTTTATCAATAAATTAATCAGTCATAGTCGCCGCCTGTTTGGTACTATCAATTGCACAATGTCACGCATTCCAAAAAAATAAATTATAAAAAGAATACAAACAATATTATAAGAGACACTCGTTCATTATTAAGCCCCGCGGTCAAATGAAGATGAGAACTATGAGCTCGCGTATAACAGCCAATTCTCATCTCACATCAACTTTGAGCTGGTTCCAATTTTGGTGAGAGTTTTCGCTACGCGTGGTAGTTAATTCCCATCAACACAGGGCCGTAGTAAGCTCTTTTCGATTGGGGGGGGGGCTGAAAGCGAGGGCCGAAGGCCCGAGGAAATTTTTAAATTTAGAGTCTCTGGAATGCCATTTCCTGGACTTTGGGGAAGATTTGACAGAATTCTGATGGTCAGAAAACAGCGTTTTAGTATGTCGAAATTTACAATTCAGTAATACTAAATGGGTGAAGGCGTATTTAATTACGTAAATTAACTATATATCGGGATAAGTTGCAGGAAAGTCTGGGTAATATCTTCATCCTTTGCAGTTTTTCATCTATTAAATGATAAAGGTCTGCATGATTTTGAAAAAAGAATGATTATTAGCAAATTATTGGGGGGGGGCTGCAGCCCACCCAGCCCCCCCCCCCC